ATATATTTGTACTGTATATATATATTATCTTTCCCCTCTCACCGTACTGGTTACGCTTCAAACTCTTTTCTCCTACATTCTTCACGACTCTGGAACGCGCTTCCTGATGCCATTAAGAGACTACCGACTAAACCGTCTTTCAAAAAAAGCGTTCACGCTCACTTTTTATTTTTATCCGAGCAGTAAGTACTTTATATTATTCTCAATTTCGTGTATAGTATATGTCATATATGTGTAAGTATATTTGTTATTTATATATATTTATTCGTTTATAATATATAATTTTAGTATGTATGTATATCAATAATTAGTAGTACCGCATTCGAGTATTCTGACACTTCCCTATGGTTGACTGGGAGAGAATGCTTTTAGCATTAAGTCCGCCATGTACACATATTATTATTATTAATGAATAAATAAATAAATAATATATATATATATATAAATAATATATATATATATATATATATATATATATATATATATATATATATATATACCCATCAGGGTCCAGCAGCAGCAGTACCAGGGTCAGGGTCTATAATGCTGCGTATAATAATATTATGTGAGTAGACATCTAATAAACATTATGGAATAAAAAATAAACAAATACATAAATATGAATAAAAAATATACACCTAGCTTTATATAAATGTTTGTATTGCAGGAATTGTAAATGCAATCAACGGAAGATGTGGAAATATATTAAATTACTACACCACGAAGATCGACGTAACGAAATGAAGAAATTGCTACGATAAAGAGGTTTTTATTTATTATAAACTAACAACTCGCCCCGATTTCGCATAGAAAGAGATAAGTAGATTTAAAAAGAAAAATAAAGTACAGCCCACACACGCTGTTACACGCTGATAATGCAGCTTTCAATAGGCGAATTAATTTTCGATTATGTAATTTTCAATTTGTTCATTACAAATAAAAAGCTTAATCTTTATCCCATATAATATTAAGTTATTTTTATGTCTAAATTCTAATAAATTATAAAGTTAGGTCGAATTAAATTGTAAACTCAACATTCAGATATAAAATAACAACAAGTCTAGAGTCGTACACAACCAAACAATGCTGCTACATTTGAATTGTTATTAGTACATAAAATTGTAGAATAATTTAAATGCCATTTAAAGTGAACGTGGCATTGTTTTAGAAAGTGTTGAATGGAGCAGTTTGTTAAGAAATATACGGCATAATAACTACAATGGGCGCAGGTTGGGATTGTAACTATCCGGTTAGTATTTCAATTGCCCTTTCTGGCATTCTTCAAATAGGCATATTGTATTCATTAGCTGCAGTCACGTTTTTAAATGCATCGAAATTTAACATTGCTTGTCCTTTTATTTCATTAATGTCTCGCCTTATTATTGCAGGTATTTGTTTTTTTTTTAATTTAATTATTTAATTTCAACTTTATGATACTAATGTTATCCTGTATGCAAGATATATATGAAAATGATTGGCATGTTTAAATAGTGAAAACATAATTCTAAAAGAAACATGGACTGAAAACGATATAAGATTTTGAACCTCCTATTGCTTTAAGAAGTCGTTGCTCCATGTTAGTAAAAAATACATAAAACTATAGTTCGTTTTTACTCGGTTTTTTTACTCCAAAAAAACTTCCAAAAAAGTGAGCTATTATTTCTCTGGTATACTTTTGTATGCTTCTCTAGTACTAATGGTTTGTGCGCTCTTGCCTCAGTTGCCTCTTACAACTTTTTCTTTCTATGGATTTAAATGTATGAAGACACATTTTTTTTGTCTGTCATTACACAGAAACTACTTATGCTTATTCAAAATCCTTAACAGTTTAAATCCAGCTCCAAGTTTTAGCTAGATTGCTGGTGTTAATTTGTTTTTAAATCCGTTCTGTTTTATATAAGAACGCTGGAGGCTCGAGGTCAAGCGATCGGCAACAATGGAATGGGCCATATCCGGCCGTGCCGCATTATCATAATACTGTTTCCACCAAGGAACTGCCGGCACCAGACATACCAACACTCCGCCATACTCCTCTTTTATGCGACCAATTTGTATATTCCCTCGCGTTCATTGTATGACTCAAGCTACTCTATTATCATAAATAGGTGGATTATATAAAATTACATTGGCAATTCTACAGGTAAAATATCGAATAAAAAATATTCATAGACATTTATTTATTTCGAAAAGTAATATACTTTATTGTATTTTGAAGTTGTACAAGAATTTGAAATTAGTGGCATATGTAGTTAGAGATAAACAAGCAGGAAAAAAGAACCAGAAGGTTCAGTCTATCCAAAAGAATAATGCAAGAACAATATACAAAAACATCGGCATATACAGTCCAGCAATAAAGAAGTACTCAAAGTCCTCATAAAAATACATCATAACATGATTACAATAAGAATGAACTGAAAGAGTATGGAATGAATTATAATTAGCTCGATCTGGTCCAACTCTATTTTGACTAGTCTTTTATTTTCTAAAACTTATAGATACGTCCTCATTCCTAATCTTCACTATCCAACACTGAATATTACGAAAACTATTATAAGATTAATGATGAAAATTACATGATAACTACCTAGCTAATATGCTCTGAGACCCATAACTATTTCATATATCCAACATTGTAAGACAATAGACAATTAATTAAACAAATGAGCTGATAGTCAATTTCCAATTACACGCACGTCTTGTAGCGTACCTATTAAGTTTTTACCACAATTAACAAGAGTACATAGAAACGAACAAAAAAGGGGAACGATGCGTAACCCAACGCGTAACCGTTTATATGTTAAGTATACGGGATTAGATCGATTCACAGAGCGTTTTGTTAGCAAAAGTTTACTGTCTAATCTTTGTTTAAGAATAATGAACTGGATTTTGTTAGATTTGCGACTGTAAAGCACATATCGACGTCTCTTTGATACGACTTTCAACACGCTCAATATGTCATCTCATTATATATGTAGATATATTACAAATACATAGTACCATTAGACACGTGTCTTTAAAGTTTGCAAAGATTAAGATCATTAAATACTAAACTAAATAATATATAGGTCATAAAGGTGGCGATAGTGTAACTACGATATCGTTGTTGTTCGACGTAAACAAATGATAAAAGTAAACTGCATGAAAGCGGTTCCCAACTTAATGTAAATTATGTTTGTAGAAACTTTGAAGGCTCTTGTCTCCATCACACGGAACAAGACAATTTGACACGACGATATCTTTATAAAGACATCAACTATCCAACTATCGTAATTAACATTGTGTATAGCGTTTTTCAATAATTTCTAATCTGTGAGAAATCCATTCCTTAGATCTTGACGGGAACGTCCGTGGGACCGCTCGCGATATGCTCAACTACTTAAATTTTCACAAAATATTGAACAAACATAATTGCAACGGTAATTCTATTTTTATGTTAAACCATATTAACAGTCACTCTACATAATGCTGTCCATTCATTACTCTAATAAGTAAGAGACAAGCGACGGCCATTTTTATTTAGTTCCCGTCCATTGTCAAAGTTTAACTATGAGAGTCGTAATTATGTTTTAAAAATTAAAATGAAGCCGCATTATGTGGTGTTAATACAATAACCGTTGAGTAAGTCATTGTTACCATATCGATAGATACATAAAATAAATCCTCAAAATGTCATGTCTGTTCATTGAATATTTCTAAAAAACAAAAAATACTGAACCAGTTTAGATGGAACTAAAACATTACACATACACTACATATATATAATGTTTCATTTCTATAGAAAGTATCAAATCTCAACCTCAAATCCTCACTAAAAGTTGACATTATCTGATATGAAAATACGCCTGTAAAATCTATAAAACCGATGTTGATAAGATATTCAAGGTACTTACTTACGTTATGATATACGAATACATTAAACCTTAGTTAACAATAAATTAATAACACTAATTTCTTTTTTATCATATTGATTTTTTTTCATTTTCAGTGAATACACTTTAAATTCTGTTATAATTAAGTATAATGACTCAACGGTTTAACTTAAAAATTATATTTATGAAATTTATTTGAAATCTTAAAAGCTTTTGTTTAATAGCGTACCTATTTAAGACAATAGCAACAATAAAATAATGAGAAAACGGTTCGGTTAGTTTGGTCAACATCAGACGAGGCCGCGACGTTCACATGCACCCGGGAACAATTGAGTTAGGCCGCGCCGCACCACGCCGCGCTGGCGAATTTCAGAAGTGCACCGCATATAGTTTATTTGAAAGCGATTAAACACGACATAACAGACGATTAATATTTACACCTACAGATAGAGTAATTTACCGAAAGATTAATTATTTATAAAAAATATCATGAACCTCGATGTCAGCTGTAAGAAATTAACAATACGTTAGTAACACCTCCACCATTTTTTATAGCAGTTAATAAGCGTTAGTCAACATCGACATGATCCCAAGCCGAGTTCGGCGAGCCGATGGCGATGCGATGCCGTGTTACAGATAGAGAACGTGTGGCGCCACAACCCCCAGTGCAAGGACCACGCTTATCCGATCACATCTCACATTCCCTATACATTATTCTACTATGCCATATCAAACTATCAAATGAAATATTAATCTAGCGCCATTTATCGAATTAATAAATCGCCATTGTCGATGAGACAATCTGAACTGAGATTCTAATTACGCACTGACTATCTCGGCAATCATTTTATAAAGACTTCGAATAACGAACCTTGAACGGCCCCCTCTATTTGATTTATTAACTGATTAGACACGAATTTTATTAGCAAAAGCCATATTACAAATAAATGGCTAACACGACTAGGTAAACCAACGATCGATATAAATACCGACATATAAAAAAGTTTTTAATATCAACTGAGACAGAAGTAATAAAATAGGAAAACGCCTGTGATCGGATAAGCGTCGAGCGAGTGTGGAGTGCAATGCAGCGAGAGCAGTGCAGTGCGTGGGTAGTCCCCGTGGACTCACCGGCGCTCGTTCGCGTCTTGTTCGGCCGCGGCTTATTCTGCTGCTGCGCCCCACTAAACCCCTTTCCCTGGTAGTTGTAGTAGTCGCCGCCGGCGGCATTGTATTGCGCGTTGTATTCGCCGGAGGGCTGGCTCGACTCCTGGGGACACGAGTCTGGCTGCGCACCTTCGCGCTGCTTCGACGGCGGCGCCCCCATCATAGGTTTGACGTCTCCACACAGCGGCAACTCCTGTTGCTGCTGCATGAACGCGACACTCATCGCGGTCGCGTGCGCCACCGCCGCCTGGTAGTCTTGCTGACCTAACGCAGCTGCAGCCACAGAGTCTGGAGTTGAGTCTTTCGGTGGCGTCGGAGGGAACGAGAACAGGGGATGGGGGTGGTGATGCTGCGCAGGCGACAGTGGTTTATCGGCTTGCGCGGCATCCTGCTGGAATCCACCACCCCACGCCCCGCCACCGAGTGCTTTCGACTCTAACCACGGGTGTAGCGGTGTGTGGAAGTGCGGCCGGCACACTTGCCCACTGCTGCCACTTAACGTTCGACCTGCACACACATAAACATGCTATTAAAACATCTAGAACAAAGTAAATAGAATGAAAAATAGTGGTGGACTGCGACAACCGGCGAAAGAATGACTGAGGTACATTAGAGCTATTAGATTCCCTAAGCTACTCAATGTTTATGAGCGTTCAAGTAACCATTATAAACCTGACAGAGATATACAGATACGGAAGTCATTGTAACATGAGCCCAAAACATTGCAACTTGCCGTCATTAGGGCGAACAATTTGAAGGCGGTTTGTACCACGCCCGCGCTTACCTAAATTAATATCATTTTGTATCTAACAACTGGTCTTTCACACGACATCTTCATCCTCAAGTATAGTAAATGTAGTCATGAATATTCAAGGTTTTAATGCGTATTTAATAAACAAATAATGGGTTAGTTTTATTCCGTGGGTTTCGATGGTTGCGTCCGTGAACAAAAGGCCGCTATTTTCCAAAATATTTCAAAAGTGCCGTGTCACAACACTGGGCAATTAAAATTGTAGGCCAGCTGGAAATTTCATTAATTATGTGCATAGTGGTGTCAGTTTTGATGATACACTGTGTTGATTTGTTTGCGGACGCCGTTATTTATGTTTTGCTTTGTGGATTCATTTAATTTTAGATAAGAAAATAAATTTTGCGAAATAATTAACACATACAATATTTCGCAAAACATATTTTCTACTAATGCTACATTACAATACTTATTAGATTTAAGATAATACTTTAATTTTTATGAAATCAATCCTAATAACCATGATAACGTGATAGACAAACAGACTGTTATCATGTTAGTTACGATGAGGATTATAAATACATATGTACTTGATTTTATATTATATAGATTCTATATTGTCAATGTACTTACAATATTGCATTCACTTTACTTCACTATATCAAAGTTACATTTAAATAGTAACAATACAACATGTGTTCAGATAGGAACACGCAAACCAAACAGGCCAGCGTACTAACACCCCTTTTTAATTTCACAAACTACATTCCACAATTATTATTTATAAGTGAAAGCAAACATATGTACGTGGATATTCTAGGGTGCAGCAATATCTGATCGTCGATTGGTTGTGTACAGTTGGGGCACATCCCTTCACGTTACTCCCCGTGGTATACCAGCACGTACGATAATCGTTGGTGCATCCCGCTGTGCACTGTTTCACATTGCTTACAGTTGCAACATGTCCAAAATGTAAAATCTGTTATTGTCTTTATACTCTAGGAAATTTGAAATAGAAAGTAAGACGAAAGTCTCTTAATGAAATATAGTCTCACCGTGTACTCAAGATACTTAACTGGAGTCAAGATACTCCCTGCTCCTCTTAAGGGCTGATAACATCCCAGTAACTCAAATTCATACTTGAGGTTTAATATATGATTATACTCGTATTCAAAAAACGAACACACGTCGCTCGATGCCAACTGATGCCAAATGGTACACACACATTTGCATACAGCATTTAAATACAAGGAACTGGGATATGGTACAACAATATATGGCCCCCCTCATTTGTTACCACTTCTAAGGACTAAGGTCTTTTGAAGCAGATATTGATAAGACTTAAACAACAATGTATACATGCACTGATGCTTCACTGCAGTATTATGTACTTAAAAAATTGCAAACAAATGAATCTGCCAAATAAGACGTAACATAACAAGGTGGAATCGAATTCATAAGTGTCATTTTAAAGGAATGTTCTGCCAATGAAACTGAACATTTTTTTCCAAAAAACGACGGAAATATTTGACCTTCCTACACTAATTTGACAGCTGGATGCGCCGTCTTAAGGAGATTAGGAGTATTAAAATTCTTTTGTTGTTTTTCGAGCTAATTATATACCTATATTATACTTCCTTGGAAATAATTGTTCAATATCAGTGGTAAAATAAAATTCCTAATATTGGTAAAATAATGCTAATCATTACAATTTCAAAGTGTACCTACCTATACTGCAGTAATATACTAAACATATAAGTATTTATATTACAACAGTACCAAGGCAGTCAGAAGCGCATTGCCTATATCTCCTTCCCTTGAACTGTTCTGGTAGAATTTGTATACCGCTTTCCTTTGTTGTGAAAGTGCACAAACAACAGCATTTAATAAACATAGCGTAACAGAAATATCGCTAAAGGGGTCTCACCTTTAAGATTATTGTTAGATTTTTACTTACGTACTCTTGATCATTTATAGCAACAATAGAATCAAATTGTAGTTATATCAAAAAATTGACACTTCGCAAAAAAAAAAAATTAATTTACATTATGAATTTAGCACGTTACCTAGTAATTGACACGATATTTCTATCTGTCTAACACGGCTATAAATCTCTAATATTAATAAATGTATATCTAGCTTTTTTTCTCCGATAATATGAGTAGATATAATCGATATTTATCATTGAGGAAATTTTGAAATAATTTTGTAACTATATAAAAAGAAAACAACTCACTCATTACTTCGTATACTATGCTAGATCGACTATATTAGGAAGATCTCTTTAAAGATAAGTATTACCTTTGCTTATAATATTTCTAATTGTTATTATGTTTTAGTGCAATAAATTATATAATAATAACTGAAAATTTATCAGATTTTGCACATATCTAGTTGGTTTATTTTTGGATATAGGTATCAGTGTCCAGCGAAGGAAGAAATTATCAATAATGGGGACTAATTGCCCGATTGCTAGTTATAGTACCACCTTATCGGACTTTGAAACTATCATTGTTCCTGGTTGATTCCTTGTGAATAAATCACAATGAGCTGATTGACCTAACTTTATTCTCATTCCTTACTGGTATCCCGCCAGTGTATACCGAGAGAGCGGTGAGTTCAACATTTCATTTTAACGAACTGAGTCTAACACAACCCTTTATAGCCGATTTGGATTTATACTATCTAGATGACAAATTATTGTTCTTAGATTATATGGATAGTGCATCGAGTCTCAAAAATGTATCAAATTTTCGTCAGCTAATTGTTAAATTAGCTGACACGTATTTTTTATCAGTGTTCTATATACTTAGTCATATAATGTACCTTGCGTATTATTTAAAAAATAAAATGAGTATTTATGAATGAAAAAGATGCAGAAATTATAAGACAAAATAAATAGGTACAGAAGTTATAAATGAATCACTCATAACTATTTATCACGCAAAATTGTATGAAAACGTTGTCCCGCTTTTGTATGGAAACACTCTATCTATATTATCTAAGTTATCGGTAAGGTTTTTAATGTATTTCGCTAGATCCATTCAGTTACTCTTAAACGTATATAACAAATTAGCCAACGGGACCATCAGTACATAATACGAAGGTATGCAATAGATACTAAGCCCGCATTCACTGATCCAGGTGTCGATCGCACTCCGAGATTATCAGCGATTGTTATCACAAGGGCACCCGTACATTGCGGCCCAGTCACGGCTAGGCTCGTGGGGGAATGAACTTTACGAACATTGAATGTCGAAATTGATTAATTAACACAACCTAACAAATACTGCGGGTGACATAGCAAAGCTATTATAAATATTTATTTTTCTGGCAAAAATTAGTGTATTTTTTTTTTGAAGATCTTCCATAAAATAATTTGATATATTTAAACCTTTAGACACTTCAATACTAATATGGTCCTTTGTTTTCAAATTATCGTATCATAGACATGAATGTTAACACATATGCTTCAATAAATACAGTATCACAATTACCACCATTCTCTAGCACAGAATTCTATAATTCATCATATTTTTTTTATAATTACCACGTATAAAGATACAATAACAATCATAAAGTCTTTTTCACCTATAATCAAAATTAATACTTATTTTTGTATCATTTCATCGCCTATATTCTTCAAATGATAACAACTGTATGTCTGCAACTGTCACACACTGCTAACTATCCATAATTAAAGCTCCAAAAAAAATTCCATTTTCAATTCTGACAAAACTAGTTATTTTGGTCTAAAGTTAATGTACTGAACAGATTTGAAAATCTAAATCGGTTTAGAACTGATGGATTTAAGAGATAACAAGCATAAGAAATTACAAACGAATTGATAAACTCCTTTTTTTGAAATCGGTTGAGAATTGTAAATATTATCGAGAATGAAAGAAAAAAAAACTAATATATTTATTAATAATGAATAGTAACTACATATACCTGCTCCGAAAACTTGAGTGACAATTATCAATATTCGATTTTAAAAACAATAAGAGAATTACTTAAAGTTTAAAGTGGGTTTAACCTTGTTACAAGTGGAACCGAGCATCGATCGTTAGGGCCATTATATTAAACAATATTGAATAAAACAATAATCAATCCGTCCCGGCGTCACATTAGGCCGAATACACACAACAACGTTTTGACATTGTCCGCGACAAGCGGGAGCCACCCCTTGTGCGTTAGGCCGCTTTTACAATAGCCCCGCGATGGCGGACCGATAACGCGCGTATGAATAATTCCTGTTATCGCGCCATCTCGCCACATGCCCTACCTGGCCGGTACTATGGTTCCCTAAATCGACCACTTCCATGCGACAGTTTTAACTGAACCCTTACAACTAAATTCGAAGCGATCACCAACTCTATCACTATCGTAAACGCAGTAGCGGCCGACCACCGGTGCTTTTATTCATTAAAGGGCTGAAAGTTTCGCCCATTGTACTAGATATTCCAGTTGCTCCACTAAGCCTTGATTGTTTGGGGATTTCGTGTTTTATGAGCTGCGAGACTAATAGTAAACAAAAACTATAAATACCACTTTGAATACTACGGAAATTGAATTAGGATACGTCGCTATCTCGAAATCTTTGAGTATGTCTTTTCGTAATACAAATAGTATTGCTGGGGAAAAAACTTCTTATTGCTTAGTGCTCAATGAAAAATAAGCTGTGTTCAAAAGTACATCTTAACAATTATTACTAAAACCAAAAACATTTGATGTTTATCTAGAAAATATCAAATAGGTC